GGAGGGAAGGGGTGGGAAAGAGAAAGATTGGGATTGGGGGGAGGGGGGAGGCTGGGAAGGGATGTGAAGGGTAAACAAAGGAGGAGGCTGCAATGCTTGGTAAGAAATGTACGCATTATCCTGCCCATGTAATTGTAACCCCTCTGTACAGTATGTTCACAAATAAAATAAAATTAAATTAAAAAAAAGAAATACACATTTGTTTTACTAAAATATTTAAGCAAATTTAATAAAAGATCAAATAGGCCCTCACTAATCATTCAGCTGTTTTTTAAATATGATTCTTGCATAATGTAGTACAAGTGAAAGATCAAAAAGAAGTTTTGAAATACATGTTAATAGAATTTATTTATTATGCATGCATATAGAATAGAATAATGTCTATGCACCAGCATGTACGAAAATTTGAATAAACAAAAATTTCCAGGGCACTTTTCTAATATGTCATGTATAGCATTCATGCCTAGATGTCAGTTTAGCCAAACACAGAGATCAGGGCCTTTGACTTTTGAACATTAATGGATAATCTCACAAAGATATCTATGGAGAACTACTGATCATGGTTTTGTAACATTGTGAAGTGGATAGGCTAGAAATGGTTGTAAAAAGATGCAGAGATGATTCAATTCTGAAAGTCCATTTGTACAGTGCAGTGAGATAAGGAGAGCTACTTCTAGAAATGGAGATAATCCAGAACCAAGCTTTCCCTATGTCCGTGAGTGACTGGATAAGTCAACGTCTACAGTTAGAGGGAAAAATTATTTGCCTATTGCTATTGTAGGAAAACAAATTTATTCATCACATTTTTTTTCTCTGGGAAGCAAAAGTCTTCGAAAAAAATTTGTTGTCAGTGGCATTCTTCTGTATTTCTTTGAAGCCCATATAGGATTAGTAATCATAAAGTTAGGAGATTTATAAGCTATTTTTATATTATGAAGTTACATGGCATTTTCAAATCAAAACCCCATATTTTTCTTTGGGATTAAAGATGATAACCATGATGATATTAAGCCCTGTAAAGATCTCTACTATTTCTTAATAGGCTATGGTTTTCAAAGTATTTTGAAATCTTTCCTTGAGAATACAAGGGTGTGGAAAAGATGACATTTTTTCCCCCACCAGAGTCTGAATAAAACCTAGGGAAAATCAGTTAAACCTAGGGAAAAATCAAGTTAAACTTGGTGCTTAGTAGTTACATATGCTCTGTGCCTTATTCAGTAATAACATGAAAACTAATTTATCCCACATTTTTATAATACAACACATCAACAGCAGCCACAGTTACCAATGCACCACTTGTCATCTTACCTACTATTGAACTTTTCTGGGTGTTTTTCTCTCATGATGTGGAATCTATGTGCAATAGAGGCATCCTAAGGGAAGAAACAGGAAAACAAAAACAGGATAATTTGTAATTTGTTATATTATGGAAATAAAAATTAAGAGACGAAAACAATTTAAAAAACACATGATTTGAGACAATGACCCCCTATGTAGCCCAAGCTACATGTAACCAGTATTAGGATTATAGGCATATGACTGTATGTCCAGATAAACACTATTTTAAAATTAACTCTTGCTTCACAATATCATTGCCAAAGTATCTAATCGATATAAATTTTTTGTTAGTGTGGTTTATGTGATTAGTCATGTTTTGATTGGTTACTTGTCATATTTACATTTAGGAAATAATTTCAGTTTAAGTTAAAAAATAAATTAATAACCAAAATAATAAACAATTTATAAAATAAATTAAAGATAAATTAATAACTTGTCATAAACCCATGTATTAATAACTGGTTTTGACCCCATACTTAGAGTATTTAAGGTAGCACATATTTTCACAAATGCCAAATAGAAATTGAAATGATTTTTAAAGAAGAGTTATAATGATAAACAAAATCACATAGTACATTTTAAATACATTAAAAACAATAGCAAGAAAGAAAAAAAATCACTGGTGTCCTTATCTTGGGGTTCATTTCACTTAACATCACCTTATATGGTCATATATACATAGCTTTTGACCTTTTCTGCTTGTCCTAGACTTATACTAGTTATTAAAAATAAGGGAAACCATGGGATCTATATTTTTTGGGGGGGCAGGCTTACTTCATTTAATATGATTTTTTCCAAGTCTTTCCATTTCCTAACAAATGGGGTGATATCATTCTTTCTGATGGAGGCATAGAATTTCATTGTATAAATATACCATATTTTCCCCACAGCATAACTCCTGATTTCCCTGTATTTGATGTTAGTGCCCTGAATCTTGTATATACGTTTTTTGTTTTTTTAATTTGGGGAGAGGAAGGGAAATAACAAAATGCTGAAATAAGGATTCAAGTTGACCCATTATAACAATGAGATGTACATGACACTATGTTGAAAATAAACTTTACAATTTGGGAGTGGGGGAGGGAGGAGTTGGAGAAGTAGGGAGGGAAGGGATGGTAGGGGAAAAACAAAGAAGGAGGTAACAATGCTTGACAGGAAATGTACTCATTACCTTATTCATGTAACTCTGTACAGTATTTTTACAATAAATAAAAAAGGAAGAGTTACAATGATAAACTAAGTAGAAAAATTGAGTAAATGGAAAACTCCAAATATTTGAAAATAATTGTAGGTGGAAATAAATGGTATAAGGATTCTGATTTAGAAAAGGTGTGATGTTGGACTTGAGTTTTCTCTTGGTGGTGGATGTGTAATTAATAACTGGCCACACCACAAAACAGCTTTGTGACTTACCTTGCTTAATGTACAAGTGCAACAAAGAAAATAATGTGTTTTTGGAGAATTGTCAACAACTATAAATTAACTCTAAGATTTACCATAGATGAGTCTTAGTTTTAGGAATGATTTCAGAGATTTTTTTTTGGGGGGGAGGATGCAGAAATTGCTTGGAATGTGTAAGTAAGATATGTGGATTATTGTGATCCCAGCCTTTTAAGGACAGAGTGCTCCAGCTGATATTAAACAGTTAATCCAGCAATTCCAAGTGAGGGGATATTTTCCTATTCTTCATCCACACATGATTAATCACTCAAATGAGAAACTAATATATTTACCAATAACCTCAATAGAAAAGGTCTATTGTTGTGATTGAATGTTAATTTTGTTTCATGTAAGAGATAAATGAAAAGCCAACACAAAAGAAATAAAGAAGTTGTGTCTTTGAGAGATTCTTGAAAACACTAATCAAGTATTATAAGTCTAATGAATGAAATGAAAAGGCTAATGTGCTTACTCATGCATAACAAAGCATGAGACCCAACAAGACAGGGACCAATGCCCACTGCAGATGGCAGAGATTGCTTCTTCCTGAATGATGAGAGTTAACTGCAATTCTTTTCTGTACAAATAATAAAAAAATCAAGTAATTAAATTACTTGAAAGGATACAAAGATATACATAATGCATATAGAAACATCACTTCTCATAAAACTTACTAAAATCCTTCATGTTTTAGTTTTCTAGTGTATAAGTGTTTAAAACATTTTCAGTATCCTGGTTGACTACGAAATAGGAATATCAAGATTGTTCACAGCTATGTATCCAATTACTGTCAAACATAATCAGTTTCCTTCTTAAAAAATTCATTTTTAAGTTATAGTCATATTATATTTCACAAAGCAAAGTGGTCTTATGCTACTATAAAAAAAGCATTTATCTCCATCTTAACCCTTCTTATTTTGGTGAAAAATTAAATGTTCAATACAAAGGAATATGAATCCAGGACTAAGAATGAACAATGAACATTGGTTACCCTTAGGAAATATATTATCAACTTCTTGAATTATTTGTTTCTGCTAAATTGGAGAAAACAGATGTTAAAAATAGATTGTGCTTTCCTTACAAGTGTATATTTTTTACACTAAAAAAACTTGTTCTTTCTAAAGTCACCCAAACAGGCTAGAGAAAGAGAAAGAGGAACACAGAGAGAAAGAGACTGAAAGACTATTTAAATGTGCAAGACTATAGTTGAGCAAACTCCTAAGGTGGAGCATTACCACACCAAATAACTAACAATAACCTTAATATCAGCTCTATCTCCTAGATACTCAAGTAATGAGTCATTTAGCTAGAAAAAAAAAAAAGAGGGAGTGGGTTGAGGATAAAAATCTAGCTTGGAACACAGGCAGGCCTTTTCTTGGTTGAATGGGTTCTACCACAAAGAGAGAGCTGGCTTTGCTGAGAACTGGATTGACAGGGGACAATGACGGCAGGTGTTCATTTGGTTGAGAATTCAGACCAAATTCACATTGGATTTGTTGTCTCTTGGCATTACCCCAAGGGTCTTGAAAGAATTCTACCTAAATGTTGAAAACTTAGTCGGTAGCTGTTTTTCAGGGATATGTAAGATTCTTTAATGAGAGATCAACTAAGAAACAAAAAAAATGATTTTGGAAAAATAAACTTTACAATAAAAGTATACTGTTGAGGAAATAAAAACTAAGTTGACATAAATTTCCATTTTCCACAATGGAGAAACCCTGAATTCAGACAGACTTTCCAATGCCAAGACCTGCAACTTTAAACAAATTGGTGATTTTCGGAGTCCAGACGTTCCTTATTTTAAAAGAAAGCCCTTTCACTGGAACAGTTTTGGATATGGTAGGGTTGTACGTGTATTTGTAAACATACAGGCATCTCTTGAAGCTAAAGGGAGGGAGTATTAAAACATGCTTCGATGACAAGATTTTCAATTATATATTTTATGATTTTCATTTGGGTATTTTTATTTCCTGAACTTATGAATTATTATAAATTAATTAAAAAATATACACAAAGATTAATGGATCAAGAAAATATGGTATATATACACAATGGAATTCTATGCCTCCATCAGAAAGAATGACATTGCCCCATTTGTTAGGAAATGGAAAGACTTGGAAAAAATTATATTAAGTGAAGTAAGCCAAGCCCAAAGAAACATAGGTCCCATGGTTTCCCTTATTTGCAATATCTAGTATATGTATGAGTCAAGTAGAAAAGGACAGATAATGTGATGTTAGAAAAATGAACCCTTAGATATGTATTTTAATGTTTTTTTTCTTTCATACATTTGTTTCTAACGCATTTATAAGATTATTTCTTTGTTGCTTTGTATGTCCCACCCCCACAGTATAACCGCTGCTTTCACTATATGTTGATGTCCGTATAATTTGTGGAGGAGATGGGGAAAAATAAGTCGTTTAAGGGTACAGGTGGATCTGTTGCAACAATGAGAAGTACAAGTTGTCATGTCAAAACGAACTTTACAACTTTGGTGCTGGGGGGTGGGGAAGGATTGGGTGGGGGGGCAGGGGAGGCTGGGAAGGGATGTGAAGGGTAAACAAAGGAGGAGGCTGCAATGCTTGATAAGAAATGTACTCATTATCTTGCCCATGTAATTGTAACCCCTCTGTACAGTATGTTCACAAAAAATTAAAATTAAAATTAAAAAAAATTATACACAAGTAGGGAATCACAAATATATCAACTTTATTAAAATTAAAATTTAAACTTTATAATATTATTTAAATAGTATTCTTCAGATTAACTTTTCAGAGTAATTTTCTTGGATAGATGCATATAGACATATCAATATAAAATTTTAATATCTATATATGAATCAGCTTCTAGGAATATATATCCCCCAAACTCTTACTGTCATTATTTTGAGAAATATAATTTTTATAGTTATGATAATTGCTATTTATAGTTATTACACCTTAAATAAATTTTTATGAAATCTTTAGTGCTGCATTTTAGGGTATTAGTTTAAAAATTAGATTATATCCTATAGATTATTAACATTTAAATTTTGTAGAATATATATTTACAGGGGTGAGATATCTGAGCCAATAGCAGTTGGCAGAAGATTATCTATTCTAATGTGTTGACTGACATGTTATAGATCTGCCGAACTTTGTCATAGACATTGTCTATTATATTAGTCCACTTAAGAAACTTTCTCTCACTAATACTTTCATTAAATATTCTAATGAGTTGGCTTTATTTTTGATTATTTGAATCTTTTTAAGGATCATTTTTAATTTTCAGTATGACCATTTCTAGAGGAGTTAACATTTTGGTTTTCTTAATTTCTCTATTCAGATTTTCTGTGTGTGTGTGTGTGTGTGTGTGTGTGTGTGTGTTTATACTGGGTCTTGGACTCAGAAACTTGCACATTCAATTGACTTTTTTAATTCACAGATAGAGCTCTCCCACTTGCATCAAACCTTCCTTTCTGGCATTTTGCTGGTCAATAAACATCTGACAGACTGTTCAGCTTCAGAAGACCTAGTGATCTAGTATTGCAGGCATGACTCACTGTCACCCAGCTCATTTAGATATTCTTACTCTACATAAAAAATAATTTTTTACA